CGCCAAGGGTATCGTACCCATATTGATAATAACTTCAATAAAAGCCCAAAACTCATCCTCTCTTCCACCGCACGCCACGTTTTCCAAATAGAATTACTAGATATTTCTTTATTCTTTAGAACATTTTCTGCGTCATTGTCGGTTCTTTTATAATTTCATTTGCGAGAATCGTTTGTCAAAATTAATTTGAAATATTGTGTTAATATTCATTAAAAAGAATGTGACATGTAGCGGAATGCAGCATCCAGAATTTCTGCATAAATCTCTTTCTTGTGAATTTTTACCAAAGAAAGGGATGTGACTATTCTCCTTAACTGACCAATAATCCTGCATATTCGCCAAGGGTAGCGTACCCATATTGATAATAACTTCAATAAAAGCCCAAAACTCATCCTCTTCCACCGCACGCCACGTTTTCCAAATAGAATTACTAATATTTCTTATTCTTTAGAACATTTTCTGCGTCATTGTCGGTTTCTTTTATAATTTCATTTGCGAGAATCGTTTGTCAAAATTAATTTGAAATATGTGTTAATATTCATTAAAAAGAATGTGACATGTAGCGGAATGCAGCAGCATCCAGAATTTCTGCATAAATCTCTTTCTTGTGAATATTTTACCAAAGAAAGGGATGTGACTATTCTCCTTAACTGACCAATAATCCTGCATATTCGCCAAGGTATCGTACCCATATTGATATAACTTCAATAAAGCCCAAAACTCATCCTCTCATCCTCTTCCACCGCACGCCACGTTTTCCAAATAGAATTACTAGATATTTCTTTATTCTTTAGAACATTTCTGCGTCATTGTCGGTTTCTTTTATAATTTCATTTGCGAGAATCGTTTGTCAAAATTAATTTGAAATATTGTATTAATATTCATTAAAAAGAATGGTGACATGTAGCGAAATGCAGCATCCAGAATTTCTGCATAAATCTTTCTTGTGAATATTTTTACCAAAGAAAGGGATGTGACTATTCTCCTTAACTGACCAATAATCCTGCATATTCGCCAGGGGTATCGTACCCATATTGATAATAAACTACAATAAAAGCCCAAACACATACTCTTTTTCACCGCACGCCACGTTTTCCAAATACAATTTCCAACGAGTATATTCTTTATTCTTTAGAACTAGATATTTCTTTATTCTTTTAGAACATTTTCTGCGTAATTGTTGGTGGTTTTTTTTATAATTTCATTTGCGAGAATCGTTGTCAAAAATTAATTTGAAATATTGTGTAATATTCATTAAAAAGAATGTGACATGTAGCGGAATGCAGCATCCAGAATTTCTGCATAAATCTCTTTCTTGTGAATATTTTACCAAAGAAAGGGATGTGACTATTCTCCTTAACTGACCATAATCCTGCATATTCGCCAAGGGTATCGTACCCATATTGATAATAACTTCAATAAAAGCCCAAAACTCATCCTGTTCCACCGCACGACGCCACGTTTTCCAAATAGAATTACTAGATATTTCTTTATTCTTTAGAACATTTTCTGCGTCATTGTCGGTTTCTTTTTAATAATTTCATTTGCGAGAATCGTTTGTCAAAATTAATTTGAATATTGTGTTAATATTCATTAAAAGAATGTGACATGTAGCGGAATGCGCATCCAGAATTTCTGCATAAATCTCTTTCTTGTAAATATTTTACCAAAGAAACGGATGTGACTATTCTCCTTAACTTGACCAATAATCCTGCATATTCGCCAGGGTATCGTACCCATATTCATAATAACTCTTCAATAAAAGCCCAAAACCTCATCCTCTTCCACCGCACGCCACGTTTTTGAAATAGAATTACCAGATATTTCTTTATTCTTACAATTTTTCATTGTAAGAATAAAGAAACATTTTCTGCGTCATTGTTGGTTTCTTTTATAATTTCGTTTATCAGTTCGTTTGCGAAAAATAATTTGAAATATTGTGTCGGCTGTACAATATTAGTAGGAATTTTGTGGTCCAATGACCTATATCGATACACTAAAATGTATTCTATCCGGAATATCTAATTCTTCCGTGACATCGCGCCATTCATCTAAGTCTTCCCGCGACTCTTCGCTTTCGCTTTCAATAACTACCATTCGTCGTCCCTTTGGTAGTATAATTTCGGAACCACTATTTGAAGTGTCAGAATTATAATCAACATTGTCTTTCACAATATCTTCTAACAATGAAAAATCAAACACATCTTCACTATCACTCGACTCTATATTCTCATCACAATAATTATTTTTTTCCTTGTTGCTAACCATAAAATGGATCAAATAATGTGTCAATCGTAACAGTAGCGAGACTGAGCACGTTTCAACTACAGATAACAATTGCTAACGCCGACGATTCCGTAACATCTTAAGCCTAATCATGCTAAAAACATTGGGCTCCGCAGCGGAGCCTACGGAGTTACGGAACAAATGACGGACGGCTGGAGCCAACGGAGCACTAAGGGTTAAAATGAGAAGTGTCCGTAACAATGTCTCTCCCACATAATATACAGTTAGGGGACGAAAAGATGCCAAATCTAAATAAATGACCCCCAAGGCAATTATGTCCAGTCTCTTACAGGCTGCAACAGCGATTCGTCTCGGAGCAGTAGGTATTTGTAAAAGAAAATCCCTCCAACGCTTTTCTTTAATTTGCTCTGCTTGCCTGGATCGAAAGTCATTATTCATGCGTTCTTTTATGACTCGAGATACAGAAGGACAAGGGATAGAATTCAGTGGAATCTATAGGATTTTTGGTTCCTTTTGTAGCTGAAAATTCAGCCATTTCATTACCAAATATTCTACAGTGAGTTGAAACCCACTGTAAAATATCTTTTTTATGCAAGGTTTGTAATGTACTTATATTAGATATACAGTCTTTAATACTTTACGAATTGGCAGGTTTCAAAGAGATAATAGCCTGTATTTAAGACGTAGAATCTGATAAAATACCTTATAACTTCATATTTTTTCTTTCAAAACTAATATATAGTTTGTACATATCTTCTTTAAAACTGTGCTGCATGAACAGGAAAACTTTTTAAATAAATAACAACTCGCGCATCAAAATAAATAGCCCAATGAAATCTCACACCTAGTATGCAGTTCTTAAGAAGCTAACCTAATTGCCTCCACCTCTTCAATCTCTTGTTTTTTCCTTATAATGTTATACGCAGATCGAGCTTTGCTTTCTGTTTCACTGTAAGTAGTGATTATAAAAATATGCTTGCAATTTTAATGTTTATTTGTTTACAGTTTAGGTTCTATGCATTTTTGTAAAGTTAACTGTTGTTATTATTTATTTATTTACTTAGTGAATTTTTTTGGAATTGCTTTTATACTTTTGTTTAATTGTAATAAATTCGTGTAAATTTTTTAATTTTGGAGCGGTCGACGTTTGAAGTGTAAATGCAGCTGAAATAGTACCGCAACTACAGGCAGAAATACTCGTTATCGGTTTTTGCGACAATTTGGCGGAAAATACATTTCGGAGCTCTAGAAGCGATTTTTTTTATCTCTGTATAAACATCGGCTGCATCGAAACAACGAGGAATTCGTTTAGTTGAGAATCTGAAACTGTTTTCCAAGAGAGGATAACTGCTTCGCGAATGATTTCGCACGCCATCCATTGGGCTATTTATTTTGATGCGCGAGTTATTATTTATTTAACTCTTTCGCATCGAAGTCGCCCGTAACGCCCGTTCATTCAGGCAACGGCAAACCACCCCAACGCCTCGTTTATTTTCTATCTAGTTCTTTCCCCTCCACGTTAGTGTATGGCTCATTGGTTTCGCGAGTTGTTAAAAGACATGTCAATCATTCTTTTGAAGCAAATAAAGGAGAAATACGGAAAGCTATTGACTTTCGCAGGTGCAATGAGGTTCGCAGGTGCAAATCCGGGCCCTAAGGTGAAACTGCAACACAATGGAAGAAACCGCAGAAAAACCTCCAAGAGCAGCAAGGGGGAAAGGGAAACTATTCCAAGACAAATTCGTAAACACGGGCGTTTTCGATGTTTGTTGAAAACAGATTTGGTCGTCTCTTCGATGCGAAAGAGTTAAAAAAGGTTTCCTGTTCGTGCAGCACAGTTTTAAAGAAGATATGTACAAACTATATAGTATTAGTTTTGAAAGAAAAAAATAGGAAGTTATAAGGTATTTCTCCCGCCTTCCTAGCCTGCCTTCCTGGTGTAATGGTTCTGCACACTGGGCCGGTATTCCAGAGGTCCGTGGTCAGATTTTTGGCGAAGACGTTGCTATTTTTCATCTTTCCTGCTTCCAAAAATATACCTAATGTCACTACAGTAGCGCCCGAACTAAAAAGGGTTGTAGATGATGAATCTCGGCACCCAAGATTTGGCGATTGAGTCCCCTAAAAACCCCAGTCGCCTTTTAAAAGGGTGAGTATATAGCGTATTTCTCCCGCCTTCCCAGCCTGCCTTCGTGGTGTAGTGGTTCTGTACACCGGGCCGGTATTCCAGAGGTCCGCGGTTTGATTCCCGGCGAAGACGTTGCTATTTTTCATCTTTCCGGCTTCCAAAAATATACCTAATGTCTCTACAGTGGCGCTCGAACTAAAAAAGATTGTGAATAATGACTCTCCGCACCCAGGATTTGGCGATTTGGTCCCTAAAAATCCAGTCGCCCTTTCAAAGTTGGAGTATATAACGTATTTCTCCAGCCTTCCTAGCGTGCCTTCGTGGTGTACTGGTTCTGCACACTAGGCCGGTATTCCAGAGGTCCGTGGTTCGAGAGGGGGAATTCCCGGGGGCATATTGGTCTGTTCGATTGCCCACCGGATGCTCTAGGCACTGGATCTGGGAGTCTCGTGCGAGGCTCTCGTGTGGTCACACCAACTGGCCAATTCTAGATAAGGGTGGACGTGGCGCTGTACTGATTAACCGAATGGCAAAGGAACAGTGCCCGCGTCCTCCATCGCTTATCTCCCTGGCTTCGAAAAATAATCCTAATGTCTCTACAAAGTTTTGTTTTCTGTATTTTCAGATTGCTATTGAAGCTATAGAAAGCATCCGAACTGTAGCATCCCTGCATGAAGAAAAGACATTTTTCATCAAGTTTCATGATGCGCTTTTAGAGCCTCACAAGTAAGTCATGTGACATGTCTCAGTCAAATCAGTCATTCTACACTCGAAACTCGAATGCATTTATTATCTGATTTTTGTTATAATGCATTACGTTAAAAAGTTACATTAAAGTAAAGAAATATTTTGCCAAAATTTGCGACAGTATTTCTTTTTTTTTTTCAGAAAATCTCGACTGAAATCCCAAATCCGAGGAATCATTTATGGTTTCGTGCAATCGGTTCAAGCATTTGCTTACGCTGCTGGGATATATTATGGATGTATTCTTGTAGCAAATGATGAAATTGCATATTCAGATCTTATGAAGTGAGTGATAAATTAATGCAATCATCGAAAGACGCCACAAACGTTCACCATTCCAAATAAGTAGCTGGATCATATATAATAATATATATAAATATATATATAATATATATAATAATATGATAATATATATAATAATATATAATATATATAATATATAATATATATAATATATATAATAATATATATTGATATAAACTGAAATTAAAACGCATAACTTTCGGTATTTATTTTACAGAGCATAGAAGCAAACTGGACACGCCCTTCGAACACTAGAAATAGTTCGGTTACTAGCTTAACTGCACGGATATTTTATGATTTACTTCACATCTAACGTAATATGGGCCAACTTCGCTCGCAGAATCCTTAAAAAGGCATCTTTCCTTAAACAGATAGCTCTCTAATGCTTTAGCAAATGATCCATGTCTTCCTTTTTGAAAATTATTAATTTATAAGAAACATTAATTCATTAATTTATAAGAAACTAGCAGCTTCGCTGCCAGCCTTCGTCTGTCTTTTAAATGTACCGGAAAAATGGCTGAAAGGAACACCAAACGTTAAATTTAAAAACTGCGTAGAATTTTACTCTGCAGAACAACTTCATAAAAAAAAGTTATTACGTATAACAAAATTACAATGAAATAAGCAATATCCCTTAATACAAATATTAATTATCCTAATAAATAAATTAACCAACTTCCCTTTGCAAAATCTTAAGAACTCAAATGGTATAAAGGAGGTTAAGAACTTTGTTTCCTAAAAAAAAATCACTCAAAACTTTTCAATATCTTAAAAACAATGAAATGAGCAATAAATAACATAAAAGAATAAAAAACAAAAAAATTCTGAAAAGCAAAGTATAATTAATGATATTTTATCTTATATTTTCAAGAGAAAAAAATTACAATGAAATAAGCTATATCCCTTAATACAAATATTAATTATCCTAATAAAAAAATTAACCAACTTTCCGTTGAAGAAAAAAATCATGCAAAACTTTTCAATATCTTACAAACAGTGAAATAAGCAAAAAATAACATGAAAGCAACTCAAAAAACATAAAATTCCGCGCAGAATTTTACTCTGCAGAACAACTTTATCAAAAAAAAAAAAAAAATCAATAAAAATGTATTATATATATATAAAAATGACAATGAAATATGCCAATCTCTTAAAAACAGTGACATAAGAAATACGATGAAAAATTGTTGCCAAACCCATATTTCTAAAAGAATGAAACTATTCAAAATGATGCGATTTCATCAAAAATCTATCAACAACAATAAGACAGGAAAATTGTTGCCCAAATCACATTTTTAAAGATGTGAGAAGTGTACTCGGAAGCTTCATTTAAAAATTTTTTTTTTAAAATACAAAATATTATCATTTTTCCAAAATTCTTTTTGTAAAAGCAGTCGCAAGGATGAAAGTTTAACGTGTCCAAAAATCAAAGAAAAATAAACTGTACATTTTTTAAAAATAAACTTTTTTAGAAAAAAATCCCGTTGAAAAGGTGTTAAGCTCCACTTTGTTAAATAAATTCGTATTGAATCGATTTATTGAAACACGAAATTTATTTTAAGTTCGTAAAATAGCTAAGTGCCTACGTTTCATGACGATGGGAAAATGGAGTGTGTAGAGTAAAATCTCGCTTTCCTATAGCCGATTATGTTTCAAAATGACGCAATTTCGTCACGAAACATAAAATTAAAAAAATTCTAATTCGAATTTTGAAAAAATTGCTTGGAGCTGCACTGGCTCTTGTCTAGATGCACCTATGTACCAAATTTCGTAGCCGTGGGTCTATTAGCTTACGCGCAGCGCGAACGAAAGACACACACAGAGAAGCAGACTCTTTATTTTATTATATGTAGAGATTATCTTTTTCTCTCGTGCATGCTGTCTTTATCTAAATGGTTCTTATGTGTGGTAAGTTTCAAGGAACTATCGCATTCTTCCGTGGTGAAATGGTAGCACGTCCAACTAGTAAATGGGAAATACGTGTATAAAGTTTGGTAATCTTAGCAATTATGAACTCGAAGCAAACTTTAGCTAGATTATCAGTGAATTATCACCAAGTCGAAAATAACAACTGAGCCTTGAGAAGAGTGTAAAATTGAAGAAGGCACACATGGTGCTTACAGTGAGCTCCTCCAGCTCTTACGGTGAGGTAACTTGAGTGCAAACGTAAAGTTTAAATTCCAGTAACTAGTAGCCGAAGGCTACACTAACCAATTTAACGCGAAGTTGGCTCGAAACCGAAACGCCTTTATATTAAACATCAGAAATTATAATGCAAGTCCGAAGACTGCAAATCTTATATAAGCTAGCAACATAGTAACGTGGCCTAGAGAGGCAGAACACATTATCTGTTGCAATTTAAAAATCTTATCTTGAATACACTTGAGCTAATTTGCATTCTGGCGTGGAAACGGAAGAAAGAGGTAACAGCAAATGTCTAAATAATTGGTTAATTAAAATAATGAAAATCCTACACATAATTTTAATTACGAGGACGGTATGGTAGATTTTTCACATTTCTCGTCACAATGATTCTAATAGTTTGACAATCTAACCCTAAAAATTGTCAAATTATTTCAAGCTAATCTTAATATCAAACATTAAAATGATTTGTTACTCGAAATTAATTTTTAAACTTTAAGACATTTGTAGTCTTAATTAATCTCTTAATTTTTAAGACATTTGTAGATATTGCTTTTGAAATGCTTAGAAAACCATTAAATAACCATCTAAAAGTTATCTGAATCAGGGAAGGAGAAAATAAAGGAGGATGTACAGATAAAAATTTTTTACCAACGTTTTTCTCAGCCTTTCAAGCTACTTGATCTAAATTATTAACGCAAAGTAGACCAAAAGTTCCTTTACTTTACTATGCTTAGCGAAATTTTATCTCTTTTATAACGACCTTACACATCGTACTTCTTATTTTCATTTGATACTTTGTGAATAAGCGTTGTAATTTAGTGGAAATAGTTTTATTCGCAATTAAGAAGCCTACATAATAATGTATTGTTCCAGCCTTTGCAATTTCATGAAACTAAAGGTGTATGAATTAATAAATAGAATATTAGATGTTAGCAAAATTAAGTTTTCAAGCTATAATTAATTGTTTGCAATCTTCATTAACCATTTACTTAAATATTAGAGTTGTATTTAACTTCCCTGAACATCTCGACAGAAGCCGAAATTTTAATGGAAAACGATTTAAATGTATTTGATATTTTTTATTACGGTGTCGCACACAATGATATCTGCCAAAGGAGGGGCTACTCCATAAAGAACTTATCCGTGTTACACATGGAGAAAACGTCCATTCATGGGGCTTGATTATATAGCTTCGTGAAAATACAGGGTGTTTATAAAGTCCCGGACCCATTTTGATGTTTAATAACTTATAAAATAATGAAGATATAAACAAACTTGTGGCATTTATTGATGGAATAACTTATATATTTTCTTTTTCAGGTTTGAATATCTTTACTTTTGTAAATATCATCTGCGAGTGTGGTTAATTTCAGATAACTTCATTTTCCAGTCTAAATATCTGTTCTTTTCTAAATATCGTCTGCTTATTAATTGTATTTTTCTATCTTTTGTTTTTGGCAACTGTTGAAATGTTATGTTTACTTTTCAGCCACACGTCTTTTTGCAACAAGATGGTGCACCACCTTCATTGGGCTACCATCGTTCGTAGTTCTTTGAATGACCATTTTACAGGAAGATGGATTGGGCGAGGAGGTCCAATTCCTTGGCCACCCAGATCACCTGATAGAACGCCACTGGACTTTTTCCTTTGGGGATTTGTAAAGGACAACGTTTACAGGAGGAGGGTCTCGAACCTGGATGACCTAAAAGCCAGAATTACAACCGCAATAGCCTCTGTGGATGCCGACATGCTTGCCGGTACCTGGCGTGAAATTGAATATCGACTTGATATTCTCCGTGCGGCGAAGGGGGCACACGTGGAAGTTCATTGACAAGGGGCATGAAACCTTTTGAGTCTATCGAACCATTTATGTTATTAATTTTAATCTATCTTTATTATTTTATGAGTTGTTAAACATCAAAATGGGTCCAGGACTTTATAAACACCCTGTATAATGAGAAAGGTCATTTGTAATCCTAAACAAAGTCTCGATTCTGATATCTTTTTTGAATATTTTCGAGAAGTCAAATTAAAAATTGATACTGTTTAACTGGAAAAAATGTAGCATTGAATAAGAATTAAAGCAAATAAAATGAAACAAATGTACACTAATTAAAGCGGAAGAGCTTTCAACACTTTTTTACTATATTATCTAACCGATAAAAGGGGACCACAAATAGAATATCAAACGTTCGATTAGAAAATAGACACAAATAAGAATAACCTTACGAAGCATCTGCAGTGATGTATTTTATTTTATGACGAATGGTAATAGAAATATAAGGAAAAGGAGTTTCATTTTTACCTCGTTTCAGCTTGTCGAAGATTCTGTCAGTTTCGTTAGCTGCAGAAGAGTTTGACAACACGCAGACCTGTATGCTTTCCGAAATTGCCAACGTCTTCAGAAATGAAACATTAGTCAACACATTAAAGGCGGGAGTCGTAGTACTACGATTTATCTCCACTTTAGCTTAAAGGCGGGAGTCGTAGTACTACGATTTATCTCGACTATAGCTTAACGGCGGGAGTCGTAGTACTACGATTTATCTCGACTGTAGCTTAACGGTGGGAGTCGTCGTACTACGATTTATCTCGACTGTACCTTAAAGGCGGGAGTCGTAGTACTACGATTTATCTCGACTGTAGCTTAACGGCGGGAGTCGTAGTACTACGATTTATCTCGACTGTAGCTTAAAGGCGGGAATCGTCGTACTATGATTTGTCTCGACTGTAGCTTAACGGCGGGAGTCGTCGTACTACGATTTATCGATATCTTGTTATCTCGACTCGATCGAATATGTTATCTCGATCGAATAACGATATCTTGTTATTCGATCGAGAACGTACGAGTACGAACGATCGAGTACAACGAACGATCGTAGTACGAGTCGTAGTACTACGATTTATCTCGACTGTAGCTTAACGGTGGGAGTCGTCGTACTACGATTTATCTCGACTGTACCTTAAAGGCGGGAGTCGTAGTACTACGATTTATCTCGACTGTAGCTTAACGGTGGGAGTCGTCGTACTACGATTTATCTCGACTGTACCTTAAAGGCGGGAGTCGTAGTACTACGATTTATCTCGACTGTAGCTTAACGGCGGGAGTCGTAGTACTACGATTTATCTGGACTATAGCTTAACGGCGGGAGTCGTAGTACTTCGATTTATCTCGACTGTAGCTTAAAGGCAGAAGTCGTAGTACTACGATTTATCTCGACTGTAGCTTGCGCATTTATCTCGACTGTAGCTTTACATTTGTATTTGGTATGTTTTGTGGTTTGAAGCTGTTCGGTTGTTCAAATTCTACTTACAGTAAATTTTGAAATCATTCAATAGGGTTTCACGTGAAAATAAAGATATATATGCAGACGATTTGATGGACATTGAAGAGCCACAACCTAGAAGAGCCACAACATCGAACTCGGCACCACGGACTCCACGATATAAAATTGATCCGCCTGGACGTATTTCGCTAGACATCAAAAAGCGCAAATTAATTCGAATACAAAATAAAAGCAAAAATCTACATGCCCAACGAAACTGCGCAGTTTGTGCGGCACATAAAAAAAGAAAGTTGACTTGCTTCAAATGCGAGTTTTACAATGCACCTCTTCAAAGTGGCGAGTGTTATATTGTGTTATCAATATAACACTCGAATCTAATACGAACATCTAATTGTGTTATCAACATTATCACACTCATAAAAAAATACTAAATTATTCTCATAAATATATACTTTGAAATATTTTTTGTAATTAGTGTTTAGTTCTTTTTTAATATTACTTGTAGTTTTAAGAGTTTAAATAAACTTTTTTAAGTCCAAATTTTTTGTAATTACACAAAATATCGCCCGCTCTAGCACGAAAAACGAGGCGAAGCGGTCGCCGCGTTACCTAGCATACTTCCGTCAAGATCATCCGCCTTTAATGTGTTAATAACAGGGAAGGTACTTCTCTAAATAGTAAGTTCGTTAAAGAGCGTATCGAATGATGTATATATTGTCATTTGACATACCTTTCCTTTAATATGCAGAGTGCTGGAAGGAGTCCTTGTTGGTATCATGATGGTTGGAGAAACGATTGGCTTTGCACCTGACTACCACAAAGCTAAAGTCGGAGCAATAAGGATTTTCAAATTGCTGGACCTCAAACCGCGTATACACATATTTTCGGAACACGGGAAAACGTTGGTAAGTATGTAAAGAGTAAAATAAGCTAAGATATTCTATTCTTCAAAAAGTGGAAACGAGATGATTAGTTACGTAGCATGTAACATACAACGAATAATTTAAAAGTAATGCAGCAATTTTAATTTGTTACGTAAATGTTACTAGCATAATGGCCCCCTTAAGCGATATGTGTAGTCAATATGTTATGTTATGTAGAAGTGAGGGGGGGCACCTAATATTTACCCTAAGTAAGCAGGTATTAGCCCCACACACTAACTAGAAAACTAACAACATTCTGGCATCATTCCTCGAGTCGTGATGGAAAATGTAACTCCAGTAAGCACTATACAGTGGTGTCCAAAATTGTGGACACTTTTAGAAATTTTTATGTTTTTGAACTTTGTATACTTATAGAAAACGTTATGTTTCACAAAATGCAAACTTGTATATATCATTTTAAAGAGAATTTATTACTTCATTCAATACAAAACACAAAATTCAATTATTTGCAATACAAAAAAAAGTTAAACTATAATAGCTATCGATATACATTAGATAGTGATGATTGCAGTGAGTTATCAGTACTTAGTAGGGTACCCTTTATTTTTGATTACAGCTTCACATCGACGTTTCATTGAGTTGACAAGAGTTTTAAGCTCTTATTTCGTTATTACATGATGCCAGGAAACAATTATAGCCTCAATTAGTTCCCTTTTATTTGATGAGCGCCTCATTCGGACAAGAGTTTTCAAACGGTGCCACAAATTTTCGATAGGATTGAGGTCAGGACTGTTTCCTGGCCATGACAACAATTTAATGCTTTTTGTACGAAACCACTCTTTCGATATTTTGGCCATGTGGAAGGAGCAGAATCCTGCTGAAAAATACACGAAGCATTGTTGGGAAAGAGATCTCTGATGGAAGGTAGAAGTTTTGGTTCTGGAATAGTGTCAATGTATTTCCTGGCATTCAGTGTCCCATCGATGACATGAAGGCGACTAATACCATTTGCTGACATGCATGACCAAATCATAACACTAACTGGGTTCTTCACAGTTGCTTGAATGCAGTCAGGATGTAGCTCTTCTCCTAATCTACGTCTTACATATTTTCGCCCATTACTACCGAATAACGATATCTTGTTTCATCACTCCATATAACTTCTGACCGCTGATCATCTGTCCAATTAATGTGTTCCTTTGCCCGCTGTAGTCTTTCTTATCGTTGCTGAAAATTAAGATAAGGCTTTTTTCGTGGAATTCTACCTCTCAGTCCAACATCTGTTAAAATTCTCCTGATTGTTCTTGAACTGACAGAAACACCAGCATCATTCAGATTTATACTTCTGACGGCCGCTGATGACATTTTTCTATCTTGGAGACATAGTCTTTTTATTCTTCTGTCATCAATAGATGTGGTGCACCTTTTTCGGCCTTTTCCTGCCTTTTATTGAATTTGTCTCCTGATATCGTAAACAAAACTTTCGGACTCCAGATGTCACTGAACCACCCACCTGTCTTGCAATTTCAGCATAGAAAAGACCACTTTCTCGTAACACAATAATATTACATCTCTTTCTAAGGTGTCCAATCTACTCTTTTATTTGATGTCATTGCTTCTTGACTAAATATTAAACATTTTTACAAAAATTCCTAATTGTAATTGGCCCACCAGCGGCCGAGCGGTAAAGACGCTGAACACTGGTAGTTCGGTCCGAGGTTCGAATCCCGCGAACGGGCTGGCTGCATGGGCGTTTTCGTGGTTTTCCCCATGTGTAATGTGTATACGAGCCAGTTTCCCTTAGAAAGGCCTCCACGATAGGCATCCCTCCCCTTAGGCAGATAGCCCTAGTGTGCTTTGCCATAATTAAATACACCACACCTAATTGTAATTGCAGTGTATAAGGAACAGGTCCTCCTTCTACAGAACTAAGCAAAATAATGAACCGTTTCAAGTGTAAACATGATGTCAGCTTCTACTGGCAGTTTGATTGGTTCTCAGAACAAGAACAGTGATTGGCCAGGAAAGCTAGACATTACAAACCACTTTAGAACTGTGTTTTGTATTTATATTAAAGTACATATAACTTTTTTGTATTGAAAATAATTGAATTTTATGTTTTGTATTGAATTCAGTAATAAATTCTCTTTAAAATGATATATACAAGTTTGCATTTTGCGAAACGTAACATTTTCTATAAGCATACAAATTTCAAAAACATAAAAATTTCCAAATGTGTCCACAATTTTGCCCACCCCTGTAAGTACTGCCACCGGCGGCGGCATCAACGGTACTCCTACCTTTTTGCGTTAAATTAGCCCAAGTAAAAGGCATTGAATTACATGATATACATTGCTAAATACATAGTTGTGCAGGTGCATATTTTGAAGATGTTATCTATTGTAGTGGGTACAGGCAACATGTTTCAGGATATTATATATTGCATTAGAAACAGGCGGGATGTTCCCACGTCACAAATCATTTTTGTAAACATGATCTGTTTACTATCAGAATTAATTAAGATATAAATTTGTTTACAAAGCTTACATTTAAGTACTGTTGTAAAGTTGTGCTGAAACTTTAACAGCTCAATTTTGACGATTCATTATGTGCTGTAACGTATGTTTTTGTTAGAAGCAACTTATTTCTAGTATACAGATCATGCCTACAATCATGACTTGTTTACATATTTTTTTTTACAAACAGCTGCCAAAAGTAGAAAATAATAAAAAAGACATAAATAAATAAGTCTGAAAACAAAAGAAAAAAAATAGCTTCATCTGCATACTTATGCGTACTACGTACTTTTAGATATATCTGAATACATTTGCTGATACATTGCCAACTTATTTTTGTCAGTTCATTGTATGAAATTACGTGTGTTTTTACAAGAATTAGTTTTTACAATAATTAATGTGTAGTCAATAGCCATAACTCTGCGATACGTAAGCTAGTTACTCTGTCCTTGCTAAACCTTCTTATGCAAGCAAAGGAAAAAACCTTTTAGTGTTGCCGATTTCATGATATCATGTCCAGGAATATTTCTTGTCTCCGAACAGTCAAGAAATTCCTCCCACTCTCTGAGAAAATTATGAAATATAGTTTTCGGTAAACGTTTTATTCCAATATTATACTTGCTCAATTTCTTGTGAGCGCCTCGGAATTTCAGTATTTCTTTTCCTGTTTAACCGCCCACCAGCGGCAGAGCGGTAACGTCGCTGAACACTGGTAGTTCGGTCCGAGGTTCGAATCCCGCGAACGGGCTGGCTGCATGGGTGTTTTCGTGGTTTTCCCCATGTGTAACGTGCATACGAGCCATTTTCCCTTAAAAAGTCCTCCACGAAGGCATCCCTTAAGGCAGCTAGGCCTCGAGTGCTTTGCCGTAGTCTAATAAACCAAACCAAACCTTTTCCTGTTTAACCAGTTTTTGGATATAGAAAAGTATTGTACAAATGATACAAGAATTTTCCTTAACTTCGTTCATTTAATTTGTCGTGAGAGTGAGTGAGTTTTACTCACTCACTCTCACGACAAATTAACATCACAACAAATCAACACACATCTTCTCAAACAGACAAATCAACACACATCTTCTCAAACAGGATATGTGGGTATGGCAAAAGCGAATGAAGGCGGAATGCTTTCGAGGAAACTGGCTCATATTCACATCACACCACTAAACCAAAAATCATTCATATAGCCGGCTCATTCGAACTGCATGTGCTCAGCAAGTTAAACAAGTCTTAACTTCTAGGCCACTGTGTACCACCTTCTCAGATAATTAGTAAATAAATATGGAGCAGTAAAAGTAGAAAAATTACTGCACTGAACTACGGTATCTGAAAAGCATTTTGAAAATGAAAAAGTGCCCATGCGGTACTTCGCGAAGCATTCCTTGAGCGCATGCCCTGCATGCTTTGCTATTTGATTAAACAAGTATGAAGTTAAATTCTTTAACTTTATAAGGTATTTCTCCCACTTCCCTAGCGTGCCTTCGTGGTGTAACGGTAGCACGCTGGGTCTGTATTCCAGAGATCCGTGGTTCGATTCCCGGCGAAGGCGGTTGCATATTTTTCATCTTTTCTGCTTCCAAAAGTCCTAATGACTCTACAGGTGGCACCCGAACTAAAAGGGTTGTGGATGATGATTCTCCGCACCCAGGATTTGGCGACTAGGTCCACTAAATCCCTAGTCGCCCTTTAAAAAGGGGAGTATATAAGGTATTTCTCCCACTTCCGTAGCGTGCCTTCGTGGTGAAACGGTAGCACGCTAGGCCGGTATTCCAGAGGTCCGTGGTTCGATTCCCGGTGAAGGCGGTTGCATATTTTTCATCTTTTCTGCTTCCAATTAACCTGATGCCTCTACAACTTCACACGTATTAAAAAGAGATTCAGAAGTAAAGAACGCTTTCTAATACGATGGTGTTTAAGAATTCACCTATCCACACATTAGTTAAATATGGAGAAACGTGCGACTGCTATCTCTCGCAACATATCAGATTCTGTGACAGAATGTATAAAATGCAATATTATATTATAACGCATTTTCTTCCTCCTTTCCTTAATGACTTTGCCTTGTATTCGGGAGATCCGGATTTCGAAACCCGGCGAGCGCATTGCACCTTTTTCCCGTTCCTACATCAATATGACGTAATGACGATATAATCGATATATATATGTAATAATAAAATTCCATAATCAAGAATACACTTAAAAGTCTATTTGCATGTTCTTTTCATTTTTAATGACGATGGTCTCTTATTTGAAAGTACGTGGAATTAAATTCGCAGCCCCGTAGTCAAGTTGTTTTTCCCGCTTTTTCTACACGTACAGTTATAGAATGTTCTCGAGATATTTAAAGCGAACTGGAATGGCTGACGAGGCTGACATCATTTTCTTGGAAGCTCCGCTTTTCCAGAGGCTATAAAAGGACTCGCAAAAGAATATCGGGCCTTTTCTTTAATGTCACGATGCAGTAAACTTCATACAAAAAGTTATTAGTAATTCTTTTTTATTTACTCCGGATATCTGATTTTGTAACTGCTATTTTCTCCTGAAATATAATAAATGCATCCTGTTTTTTAAAACTTATCGTCTGATAATTTAAGTTACGACAAAAGCTGGTACATCATATATATATATACATATTCTGAGATACGTCTAACAAAATACTTTATCTTCTTCTTTATCTTACTTTGGAAAAGAGAGCAATTATTGCATATATTTCTGTAACTTATAAAGGACAATTCTCTCGTTCTACTGGGCCGATTGATCTCTCTATATATATACACAATTTCGTAACAGTATACATTTTAAAATAGAAAATTATGAACAAATACAAAGCAAAAAGCAGTTCAAAAGCTGAACTAATTAGGATCTAATGGCCGCAACAGTATTAATGGTAATAATTTTTGACAACATCGCCAAATAACATGACAAAATATCGTAAAATCCTTTAATATCGTAAAATAAAAATAAAACATGATTTTTATTTTACGATATTACAGTAGTTGTTGTAGCTATGAGCACATAATTGAATTTATATATGCATTAATTAATCAAATGAAATTAAAACTGCCAAAATAAAAATTGTACTGAAAAAATAAAGAAAAAACAGCTTCTTAAAGCTTGTGGCTAAAATTATTGTGGGCGAGAGAAAAATAGAATTAAATTGGACAAGTAAATGCTGCTGCTAACTGAATGATTTTAGTTGACTTTTCAGGTGATGGACTTTTTTGAATCATATATATATATATATATATGTCTGTGTGTGTTTGTGATATTTGTTGTAGATGGGCATTGGTTGTAGTCGCTGCGGAGTGGAAGGTGGTCAACTTGAAGATATAGAAGAATTTCAATTTTAAAACTCCATATCTTTATTCACTTAAAATGGCAGACCACTATTCTTTTAGATTCTCCGAGAATATATACGCGATAGTAATTTAGACTAAATAGGATTAACTTTTTCTACTTACTTTATTCATTTATTTACTGCGTCATGTTATTCAAACAAAGAAAGACAGACGCGAAGAGCGGCAGCAATGGTCTCATAGCTGTAGGAGGAAAAAAGCAATCTGATCAAAAAAATGACGCGAATTTATAACAGCGATTACATCACATGCCAGAATGTTCTTGAAAGTACTGGTCTAGCGGGAAGATCCTGAAATTGCGGAAAGTTACTTAGAGGTTGCCTCTTTGCGTAGAGCAAATTCAACGTATTTTTTATATTTTACATAGATATGTGTGTGTACATAATTTGATTTACTAATTATTACTGCTTGATAAGATATATGAAAAATAAAAATAATTCGGCAAAATTCTAATTTCGAACGGCAAAATTCTAATTTCAGTATGTAATAATTTAATTCTCCTTAATTCTCTTAATTCTCCCTTTTAATTTGTCTTTTTTCTCTTTCTGTCCTAAAAGTAGTAACTGCTTATTATGCAACTCTCTAAACAGCATTATTTCAAAATTAATGCGTGTCATATGATTCTTATCTAATAAAATCTTATTATCATCATATTCTAACGTTAATGGCGCATGTTTTTATATAAAGGCTTCAGCCAGTAATGATTTTAAATGATTTAAATGTGAATGGGTATTAAATAAATATCAAAGAGTTCATTAAAATATATTTATCATTTTGGAAATTTCCGTTTTTGATTTTTAGATGCATTTTCTTTACATGACGCTTAGAATTGTTTATTCTGATTGTTAGTCCAAAGGGACAATTTGCCATAATTTCGTTTTGGCATTTTGCTTTGGTTCACTAAAGAAATTAAATAATGAAGAATCTGTATGAATGTAGGTACATTTTTCGCTTGTGATAAAACGACGGTACCTAGAACTATCAAAATTTTAATAATGTAATTTTCCATAGAATATGGGCAAGTGGAAGCCTTAATTTGAATTTGAAATTTTGAATTTTCGATTAACAAATGAAACGATTTCAAAGCGAGCAATGGCAACACTGTACGGGGGGGGGGGGGCAAAAAAAAAAAAAAAAAAAAAAAAAAACTTTTTATCACCAGCGCGCGAGACTCTGAAGATATGTTCATTTTAAAATTATTTTGAGATATTGCTGTTGAACTGAATTTTATGGTCTGAGTACGTAGGACATGATATTTGATAAATAAAGCTAAGACACAAAACGTTAAAAAACGCTCCTTTGGACGTAATCTGAAACCTTTCAGATTTATTATTTTTATTATTATTATTATTTTTGAGAGATTTATTTTCTTGTGAAAATATGGATCGAAAATTATGTTCTTTTCTAATTTTAAGAAGTTTTCCTACCAATTCGAAAAGTCCATGCTGAAAAAATAAAAATTTCTAAACTCTTCTTAAAAAAAATTGTTAACAATTTAAATTTTAGGAGACGAATTAGTTTTTATTTATTTTGATTAACAAGGTATTTCTTTTACAGGAAAATATAGAAGGTTACATCCGCTTCGAGAAGGTTCGATTCAGGTACCCGAGTAGGCCCGACGTCCGGGTCTTGAACGGTTTAAACTTCGAAATTGAGCCTGGGAAAACCGTCGCTCTAGTCGGCAGTAGTGGTTGCGGAAAGAGTACCTGCGTTCAACTCATTGAAAGATTCTATGATGTCCAACGAGGCAAAGTGGTAAGTTTAGATATATAGCTAAAATTTTATAATTTGTTTCTGTTATAAATTAATAAAAAAAATTTTTTTACGTTAGAAATTTTTTAGTGGCATCTTTCCAAAAATTTTTTGTGATGTTGCGCTACGTTACTATTAGTAATTTAAATACATGTGGAATATACTGGTAAGTGCTCGACTTTCTTAAAGCAGTGGATCTGAATGAGTAATTCGATACAAATCATTTATAACAATACCAGAACGCCCGGCGGTCATACGAAATGACCGCTGTTCTAGATATTATAAATTGTAATTAAAATAATTTGTGCAAAGGTGTCTGCTAATTCAAACTGAATTACCCCGGGCAGGCGGCGAGGACGCCCCTTTGCTTACTGCCCCACGGGTTTCCCCCCTTCTACTTGCTTAATTGCTTAAAGCAGAGTGCAATGAAGGAAACCACTGGCGGTACATTTCTTAAGAGCCACCGCTAGCTCAATAAATAGAGGTGATTTAAATAATAAAGATGACCGCTAATAATTAATAATAAAGATTTAAATAATAAAGATGACCGTTAATTCACATGTCAAAGATCTCTTTGTACACAACATTTCTTGTGTAGATCTTTCCATCATTTTTTAAGCTCGCCTTGCAGAGGACCATCCATTATTTTTAATTTTACGTCCGTTCTTTCACGAACTCTTGAAAAGGCAACATAAAGTTGACCGTGTTCAAATCCAGGCTCAGGCAAAAAAAATGCCAACACGCTTAAGCCTTTGGCCTGAGACTTATGGATGGTCATAGCAAAGGCAAGTTTTACAGGAAATTGTCTACGTCTCAATTGAAACGGCAACCCTGTGCCGTGGCAACTTCACCCAATTGGCTAGTACAGTTACGCAAGCAACCGATAAACTATTCACGACAAACAGACACTTAAGCCGTATATATATATATATATGGGGTGAAGTAGCATCATCTCCTTCGAAACGGCTGGCTCCCGGGCTTAGCGAAGCACAACGTTGGATTCCGAAGGTCCGTGGCACGCCATTTTGACCATTCGCGTCTTCTTGGGATTTTAATTAGCCGAGATATTAGTTAAAAACTAATTTTCCCCCTACGTTTTTCCTACATTCTCCACTTTCTTTCTTGGGTTTTCCCTATTAGAGGGATTTGGTTACGTGCCAAATTATTTTTTCTCGAATATCTATGGAAAGGCGCCGAATTGAAATTCGAGACGCGTATCCTCGGATTTCAAAAAATTCTCCTAATCCATCGATACAGTTCTCATCTTCGTACGACTAATCGGCCAAGATATTAATTAAAAACTGCGGAAACGTTAATTTCCGCTTTCATTTTTCCGAGTGGCAACAATAAACTATCGTCGACACACACTTTACTCGCTTATATATATAAAGATTTTGATTTTAAAGGATACCATTATTAGCAGCATCACTATTTTGTTTTTAATTAAGCGTAACAAAGTCTGTAATGATAGCGTAAAAATATTACATTCATTTAACTAAAGTCCTGTAATTTTAATATATATATATATATATATATATTATTATATCATAATTTTTTGAATGACTTACTCTATTCAGAAACAGTAAAATAAGTCGTGCAATTTAAATATATATATTTTTTATTATGTCATAATTTTTGAATGACTTACTCTTTCAAAACAGTAAAATAAGTCGTGCAATTTAAATATATATTATTTTTTATTATGTCATAATTTTTGAATGACTTACTCTTTCAGAAACAGTAAAATGTGTCACTGATGAATGTTTTAATTTTTCTTTTGCCGAATGGAGTGATTGATCAACGGAGTTTTGTAACTGATTTACTGTATGCTTTTTCTAATAATAATTAATAAACATTTATTGTTCTACAATACTTTTACTTCAAAAACATTAAAAAAATAAATAAATAAAAAATTAAAAAAAAAAAATAAACGGGGGGGGCGGAAGAAAAATCTGAACTTTTGACCTTTTTTTGGCCTTTACAGCTATTTTCTACAAATAAATTTGGAAAATTCAAAACAAATAGTTACTGTCTCATTTTTGTATGATGAATTATAGTCAACTTCTCCGAAATCAATATTTGCATCCAGATTGGCCACTTCTAGTAGTACTTTCGTACTGGATATGGTAGTTTCGTACTGGATATAGTAGTTTTTATAATTTTATAATTTAATATTGGTGTAAGTTTACCATGAAATCTAGTTCTTTGTTCCTTCTGAGTTATAACTATGAACATAAGATGAGAAAAGTTAGATTCATCAAGTTATATAACGTCTAGTAGAAGATGATATTAACTTGAGTGCAGCGGAAGATGATATTGGCCAAATCGATATTAGTGGTTTAAAAGCAAACGAATCGTTCACTCGATCTTAATGGTTTAAAAACGAACGAATTGTTCACTCGATCTTAGTAGGCCCACCACCGGCCGAGCGGTAAAGACGCTGAACACTGGTAGTTCGGTCCGAGGTTCGAATCCCCCGAACGGGCTGGCTGCATGGGTGTTTTCGTGTTTTTCCCCGTATGTAACGATCCAGTTTCCCTTAGAACGTCCTCCACGAAGGCATCCCTCCCTTTAGGCAGATAGCCCTCGTGTGCTTCGCCATAATTGAATAATCCAATCCAATCCAATCCACTCCACTCGATCTTAGTGGTTTAAAAACGAACGAAATGTTAATCACAACTGCATTCATGCAACATAAAACAGTACTTAATATTATCGCCTCCGTTAATTGTACAATTTATTAATTGTCAACGTAAACTGCAAACAAAAGTTGCAAATCTAAATTTGAATTACTAATTTTAATTGTCAATTTTAAACGTGGAAAATATATATTTGAAGCGAGAAAGAAAGGTCTTTTGAAATAAGTTTCGATCAGATGCAGGTGCCAGAAATAGATATCAATATTCCTCTCTATGCCGAGTTAAAAGCCAAGTTGTTAAATTAGAGTTTCTTAAACTGTGGGTTGCGACTCCCTTTGGGGTCGCGGGACCTGCAGTAGGGGGTCACCAAAAATTTTAGAAGTTTTGATATTTCTTTCTTATTACAATAATTTTTAAATTACCAAATATTTTTACACAATGTATCTGAAAATAGATAAAAATAAGACAATACAGACAAAGTAAAAATGAAAACGTTTCGACGCATTGTTTTTATAATATATACGTCCATTTTACTTACTTTGCACATGACGCTTTCATTTCGTCTGTTAATTATTTAAAATTTTCACAAAATTCATCTTAAAATTAGAGATTAAAGTTAATGACCTAAACCTGCAATAGTATATTACAGTGAAAGTGAAAAAGAAATTGACAGCTTTGCGCAATGCTTATGGGGTCCCACAAAATATTCGTAAATATGTATTATAGGGTCCAGGAGTCGCGAAAAAATAATCTCAGTGATAAAAAGTGGTCGCGACAAATGAAGACTGATTTTAACTTACAGCTGTTTGCTTTGAATTTTCCAAATCTCCCTGCAGAAAATAGATGCTAAGACCTTGGTGTCTGTAGTGGACTGTAAAAGCACTGGAAAAAATGGTTAAGAATTCTTAGCTTGCTTTGTCCTGAAATAAATATGCTGTAAAGCCACATTCTGCTTTCGCGTTCGTCGTCGACTACGAATAAAAGTGAAATAGCAATTCAGTTACTTGATCACTTACTTTCTTCCTTGATCTTACAATCTTTACTTCCTTTGACAAGCGAAAAATGAAACATTTTTCTCTGATATATTTTACTCTTTCTTAATATTAATTGAGAAAAATCAAGTAAAAAATAATTAAAGAATGTTTCCAGTTTTTCTCTTTTTTTGGTACTATTCGGTTTCGAGGGCCGTAAAAAATCGCCAAACTATTGTTGATGCCAGTGCTGCCAAAAATAATTGTGGCAACCCTAATGCAAGAAAGGAAGTATAATAGTAAATAACTATTTAAGATTGATGTTTTAATTTAGATGAAAGGTTAATTTCATATAATACTTTTTATTATTATAATTTATATAAAAAAGGCTAAACATGACTGCATGGAAGCATAAGAGTAAATAACTATTTCAGATCATTATTATAATTTCTATAAAAATTGCTAAACATAACTGAATGGATGTCTGCATTGCTATTTCGCTACCGAGTTATCGTTAAAGTATAATTTCATCTCGTTGGTTGTTCAAACATAATTTCCTATAATGAATGATGTTTTTCTTTGAAAAAATTCTCGGTAAAGTGCAGAATCGTCCACTTATTTCCTTGCCGCTTTTTACAAGTGTAAAAACAATTGGATTTTTGTCAAATTTCTTTTACTTTTTAAGTGAAAATAGGTCGATGTGTAGATAGATAAAGTCAAGGGTGTGCTAAGTGCCATTTTTGTGCAATTCTAGGGGTTTTTTTTTTTTGAGTGAAAATAGGTCGATGTGTACATGGATACCAAATACGTGCAATTCTTAAAATCGCGTCAACCAGTGCGTCATTCTGCACTTTACCCAAAATTCTATTGCACACTTTTCATCATAGGCAATTCCCAAATTGTTAAATCCATAGGATATCAAAAAAAAATTTAAAAATCACAAAAGGATTTAAAAATTAAAGTAGTATTTCAATGGCGTCTTAAGAAATATAGAACTATATAAAATTACGCAATCTGAAATCAACGCGTACTCGATTTGGCGCGCTTTTAAATGGGCGCGTTTACTAGATTTGGCGCTTTTGCGCATACATTTTCGCTGCAATTTTTTTACGGTCCTCAAAATGGAATAGTACCCTTCTTTTTTTTGAGTGTGTGTGCAAGTATGTATGTAATTAGTATTTTAAATAAGTAGATACTTCTACGTTAGTCACACAAAATAACTAAAATGGCTATATCTAAACAGAAGATTGGAAAAATGTAAACTTCATAGATGATGACTATGAAATGAATTTTGACTTTTATATTTTAATAGTTCCGTTAATTTAACAATTTAATTTTAACTTACCCGCTTAGGAATTTAGGTTTTAACTATGTACTTAATTTGTTAACTTTTTTAATTAACTTTGTAATGAATACTTAACTTAATTTTGTACTTTGCCACTCAATGGCCCAAAAAGCCTGGCCCGATTGGAGGCCAATAAAGATTGCAATTCCTAGAGCCCTAAAGTATCTTAATCTGGCCCTGCAGATCCTAAAATTCCTTGAAGAGAATAATACGAAAGCAAATATAAATTTAATACCTTCTTCTCGAATAATTTAAAACGAAATCTTTTCATTGCTTCGAGAAATAATTTTTGTAACAATTGTGAAATTGGAAATCATTTTCCTTTTTGAATAAAATTTCTTCTTATTTATCGACTGTCGTTTTTGTTCAATGCAATGCGGAAGTTTGCGCTCGTATTTGTTTTTCTCTTAGATGTTATCTGATTTAGGTCGTTTCAATATGTGTCTTGGAATTGACAGAAACCTTGGTTTGGTGCTATTTTTGTTGTTTTGATTATCGAGATCGTTTAATTTATTTTTTATTGCATAGCCATGGATGTTTGGGCGAGGCTGAAGATTGACAACTTTCTGGCCTTGATCTTATTCCTGTTAAATAAAATTGATCTTGTTCTTTTTAGATAATATTTGAATATAAGCATTTTTAAAATAATAAAAATAACGTATGAAAAGATGCTCATCCCATTTGATAAATTAGGAATCTATTGAAAAATGCCGAAATGCAAACCCGCTGTTGCTTTTCATCAGCCTTTGAAAAAATCGCTTCGAGGTGCACTGGCTGATACGTTGATACAGTTGTAGTTACAGAGGGGTTCTACTGCTTTAGCAGTACTTCCCTGTAAACCTAAAAGAGTTCCACAATGGGCATGGTTATAAGTGTTCCTGAATGAATCCGATGGAGGGAGCAGGGAGAGGGAGGAAAAGGATGAAAAATTCCTCAATTTGGTTCATTGAAGCTGGCGAGGGAGTAGAAATTAGTCCAGAGGTCTGGTCGAGGAGGTAATCTTTACGTGTCCGCGTGCTGCCATCTATTGGTCTTTCCGTAAGTAGTCTCCGAATTGGGTATTAGGCTTAGATGACGTTTTCTGTGGAGCCATCTAGCGATCAAGGTACAAAGCATGCCGGGGAAAGAGATTTAGGCTTAGTCATCTTCTCATGTACTGAGTGGTTTTTTTCAGTCTTAAGTTTTCTTCAGCGAACTTCATGAAAGCCATAGTTGCATAGAAACCTACCCTTCACTTCTCCGAGGGGCTCTTTGTAGCTTTAACTTTATTAGTTGGATAACTGTACTGAGGAAATTCTTGATCTTTTCATCTTTGAGCCAAGTCAGGATTTCGTTGTTCTCTTCTGGTAGCAGTTGTAACTTCTGTTTTAATTTAGAACTGTACTTCTGGTTTTGTTGTGCTGGTTTCTGCTGCTTTCATCTTTGTGATCATCTGAGTAAAATTATATGAAGTAAAATTATATCTGGAGTTTTCTGTACTGGAGGTTTCGGCTGGGAGTCTTGGTTTTTACTTTCAAAACGTTTCTTGTAGTAGCTACAACCCCTGTAATTACTGACGTGGGGTCCTCGGGAAAAAATGAAAGTTGGTTTTTGACCTTTAGGCATCTGACATAGATTGCTGCGGTGTGGTAAACCCCATTTTACACATCTTTCGGGCTTATTAGGACATATCTGACTATGTCCATATTCTTGACATATGTAACATTCTTGACATTTGTACAGGACGTCTGCGAGGGTTGAACTTTTCAATACTGCAATTGAAAGCTGAACTTGATAGATTGTGGATGGAGTATCCGTCTGCATTCTTTTGAAGTTAGAGAAGGAATATTGGCAATTTGAAGATGTTTTCTGGTCTATTGCTGGTGAATTGTTACATTGGCTCTTGTCTAGATGCACCTATGTACCAAGATTCGTAGTCCTGGGTCAATTAGCCTTACGCGCAGCACGAACAGAAGACAAGCACACACAGACAGCCAGGCTCTTGCTTTTATTACATGTAGAGATTTGTCAAAACATATTTCAAGTAATTTTTTCGTCGATAAATAATTTTATTTGTTTGCCAAGTCTGTAGCAAATTTGATATGACACTCTCGTCACCACCGTACGAAATGACCACCGATCTAATATTTTGTTGTTGCGAATATTTCATGAAAAAAGTTAATTTTTTATTTTTTATTAAATTTAGAGATCCTCCAGGAGAACTTATGTTTAAAGTATTACAACAAATAATTTGTTTTTATGAGCTATTTTTCGTTTGTTTTTTTGAATACGTTGCTGCCATTATGGGGAGTAAAATTCTGTCTGGAAATAAGCCTGGCGACAGATTACCAGGGAATAAAGGGGTTATATGAAATTCTCCCGGCCTAATTAATTAGTTCTAATAAACGAAGCTATAGTTTCTCTTCATTTTCGAGATCTTAACTTAAAAATTTAGTCTTCATATTTTTCCGTAAAAAAATTTATATTAATATAATTAACATTAGGATTCTTCTTCATTCAATGTCTTAGTACAAAAAAGTGCAAAGATTTGGAATGAATGGAATACAAGCATTTACATGCAGAAAGTAGTAACAGATTTAATTTTAGACATCCGCCCCCCCCCAAAAAAAACTCCTTTGTGTTCCTGATTCAGTTGTTTGATGTAAAAGGCCTGAGTTGAGCATTCCAGATGTCTTTCTCAGCTACTTTTGATTTTAAACAAGAAACACAAAAAATTGTGGACAAAATATTGCAAATTTTTTAAATTGAACATTTAATTAATAAATGATCTCCTTGTAGTACTTGTAGAGTACTACAAGAAAATGAGTTTTTAATAGTTCGATATCCTATTAATATTATTATTATAAGGGCACAGCTCCGTCCTGTTTATTGTCTCGATTCAAACATTCACTGCTTTTCTTTACAGATAATTGACAAAGAAAATGTTAAAGACATGAACGTTACTGATCTCCGCTCTCACATAGGTCTCGTATCCCAAGAACCAATTCTTTTTAGCTACAGCATAGCAGAAAATATTGCTTATGGGGATAACACTCAAGAGATGGATATGAATAGAGTCATCTCTGCTGCACGTCAAGCTAATATCCACAATTTCATCACTACTTTACCGAAGGTAAATATATTTAACTTGCTTTAGAATATTATGAAACAGTAGCTTCAGTTTTAATAGATTGTTAAAACTGGAAGAAAGTATAGATTTTATAGCAGGAAGTTTAAATTATTTATGACCAGAGTAAAAATATGTTAAAATAGCTGTATACTCCGCCTAGAAATTCCGGATACATGCCCGTTAGCATATTTCACAAGTGCACATCTGTGTAGCTATCGAGGAAGTGGCTTCTAGGATGGACCAGTGAGCATCCAGTAATATTTCTGTCATGTCGCATGACCTTTCGCGTGCTTTAAGATTTAAGCAAGATGGTTGAAAATATTCTGCCACGCAGTTTTCTGTAAAAAATAAAATAATGAAAGGATCGTCGATTGCTTCTAAAACTTTTCATTGCGAAGTTAGATCAAATACCGGCAATTATGAAGATTTCATTACCTGATTGAAATAAATACAAACACATGTTGGATACTTCGCAAAAATATGGATGGGAAATAGTACTTAATAAGTGGTAAATAAGATGAAGAAAGAAATATGGGATAAACTTCTGAGCCCAAATGCAATCTTTACATAAAACTATGCGTATGAGAAAAATATTTTCACCAGTTATATATGTAAATAGAAGTCAGCACTTTTTATTGCAGTCTATATGAAAATGTTCTATAATGATAACCAATGCAGAATTTTAGTCAAAATGAACTTTACTAATTTGCATTCGTATACATTTAGTGTGTTAAATTTCACATTTAATAACTGCTCACTCTGTCTACATAAAAAATACTCATCAAGCAGAGTGAATTTATCTTATTCACAACGAGTATATTCAATTTATTCACATATAACTTTTAATTTTAGCAATGGATATAATCAGATCATATGCGCACTGAATCTTACACTTTAAAAATCAAAAGAATGCACTGAAATAAGAAAACGCTAGATTCATTGTAACATTTTCAGTCATTCTCATCTCAGTTTAAAAAAAATATACACTTGAATTCTCTTAATCCACATAATATGCCGTGAACATCAATCCAAATATTAATGCGTGATAAAAATCGCGAAAGTGAAATGCCAGCGATTAATTAAACTCAGAAAACGAAAGCATTACAAGATTTCTACTATTACGTCATATATTTATAACTGCGAAAAAAATGCAAATCAAAACGTAAACAACATACGCTCACATGCACGAAGATTTAACGTCATAAGAGCAATAGTAGCTCATTGGTCCATTTTCGAAACCCCTCACTCAGTGGCTGTGCTGATGTGCACTTGTGAAATATGCTGCCCATTAGTTTGGTCGGCCGAATCCATCGGTCTTCACTACTTTGTTGGAATACCAGTCAATTTGTATTGACTGGAACTGTTTAACAAATCTGCAGTTTTGCACAATTTAGAATTGTATTGAAAAATTTAAGAATTATTTTCCTTCTTTTTTTATCATCTGGGAGGCAAGTCATTATTTACAAAACATTTGCTTCTGTGGATAATAGTAAAATAGTGCACATATTACAATGAACTTCCCAACTGCAATTTCGTAATTGCCTTGTGGATAACTGCAACACAGTGTGCAAATTGCTATGAACACACATAATGAGGTGTGCAAACTGTTAAGGACACGAAGTTGTGCTGTATTCGAAGTGAACAAGTAGTATTTACTGTGAACAATGAACTTAACAAAAGTGTGCTTCGAATTTGTTAAAAGTTAACTTAGAATTCAGTTTATATGAACATAGAATAGCCTACACAACATTCATATATTTTGGGCTATGGAACTATCAAACTGCCTGAAACTGATGTGACTGGCTTACTCTGTGGATAACTGCAAACAATAATACGGACACACATCATTAGGTGTGTAACTGATAAGAACATGAAGTCTACGACTTATTGAACTAGACATAGGTTTAGAAAACTGGTTAATATATAAGTTCCACTCTTCCACAGGATAGATCCTATCCATGACAATGTAATGTATTAATTGATTCGTATATTAAGACACAATAAAACGCCGAGTTAAATACTATTCAGAAGTCAAACAACAATTGTAATCAGATGTTATATTTTCAATTTTTATATTTATTATTTTTTGAAAATATTACGCTGATTTTTGTTGTTTGACTTCTGAATTAGAATTGATCGTATATTTATTTTTCATACGGATTATTGTGTAACAATTATTGTATAGATGACATTGTCAATTTAGCATAGTAATATTACTATCATTGATTCAGTGAATGCCACTGGCGGTGGATGGTAGATTCTTTTCCGTCGCATGGACATATAACTCTGATTTGGTGTAGATCCTTAGGTCGGAAGTCCATGCGACTGCGTTTCGGTCATCACTACTTCATGACAACGATTTTTGGACCAACCAATATTACATCCGCGAACAGTCGAAAAGGAAGAGAGCATAATTATAACCAAGGCTTAAGCCGAATCGAATCCATTCCTTGATGTCACATTATCAGTGTTGCTCACCACTAATCTTCACAGCAGCACGATTGTGAGTATAAATAAATTGAAAGTGAATAATGTAGAAAAAAGATGATGGTTGTTTTAATAGGTATAAGATTATTAATTAATTTATCAGATTCTTAAAATTTAATTTAAGTCCTAGTGAAAAATAATAATAATAATAAAAAAAGAAGAAAAAGGAAAAGCAATGGAATCATTCTTATGCCATAAAAGTTACAAGATAGCTTTTACTTAACATATGATCCTGTGATAGGGTATTTCCTAGTTTTAACATTTTAATTTTTATTTTGCAAAGCTTGAAACAGCAAACGTTATCTTATGATTAATATTTCAGCACTTTGTTTCCAATGATTTCTATATTCTGAAACCTTCGGATTCCATAACAATCAGTATCAACCTATCAATTTCAAACTTTTATAATTATTTGGCAAATTATTATTCCATTGAGCTCTTAACTCCTTTTGGACGATGTTAACTTGCACAGACACATACGCCAATTCAGTTCATCTCAGGAGAATCATTAGTATTCACATGAGGGCTCTGGGCTAGTCAACTTTTCTACAACCGTGTCTTTATAAAACTCTTCTTAACCCAAGCAATATTGCACGATGCGTTGTCTTACTAATGAAAATATTTGTGCTGACTTAAAGTTTGGAAGTAAATTAATTGCCTAAGAGTCTACGTATTGCCTAGAATTCATTAGTTTGTTGAAAATGTTCACCTCACAGTACTTATGCCTGAAATGCCTAATGTGTAGGTCATCTGTCCACAATCGAGAAATATTATTCTTTTAACTTATGTATTAGAATAACAGAATGTCATTTATGCGTATGTCATAAACTGTATCTTCCGCACAGCAGTATGTATCATAACTAATGTCATTGGAATTCGTATCTTTAGTATCTACATCTCTAGTATAACATGTATTTTCAACATTTGTTATGTACACGACACAATGCCGACAATATATATCACATTCATAGAGTACAATGAGTATCCCACTCGTAAGAGTGTTGGTTCATGCTAAGAAGGCGAGACAAATACCTCATAACGTCAACCGTCGTTATAAGTTCTCTTCCGAACTGCAGATACTCAACGGTGTGATCTGTTGTGTCACATTTTGCTATATTCATTGCAGATGGAATCATGGGCTAGTTTTTCTTCCCAAGTACGGACTAGTTTGGCTTATCTGGGTTTTCAATTCTGTTTTTTTCATTTAGAGTGTTTCACTTGAAGGTGATAAACAGGAATGATTTCTTGTTTAATACCAAGGAAATTTCAGGTTTGCTGCATTATAGCTCTATCGAAGTGTGTGCCATTATATCTAATCAGTCTTCTGGGTAAATCATAGCGTAAAAAACTTCTTCAATAAAGATTTTTGAACAATTTGTTGCAGTGGCATCTTCCAAGAAGATAGTCTTCGATAAGAAAAATCCACATAATCGCATAATTTTTCAAGAGCCCAAACTACAGCCAGAGCCTCTCTCTCCGTAACTGAATAATTTCTTTCTGCTGCTTTTAGCACTCGACTTGCTAGCGTTCTTCTTCTGGGCCTTCTCCTCGAATAAGGACTGCTCCTAAAGTATAGTTACTGGCATCTGTTCTAATGATGAAACAGTTTAGCAACTTTTGAAAGATCAGGAACAAATCTTCGGAACCATGAACAAGTCTATAGAAAAGATTGAGCCTCCTTGACCCATGTTGGTTTAGGAATTTTCTGAATGGAAGGTACAGAGTGTCCCACAAAGAACCCCGTTTTAAAATTAAATAATTCGAAAACAAAGATCGATAAAAGAATTAAACAAAAGGTATGTTTATTGGCACAGCTGTAAAAATTTGATACAGAAGTTTCACATTTAGTTACAAAAGTTGCCAATATGTGGTTCTGTACGCTGTATTGCCAAGAAGGAGTCCCTATAAAGAGTAATCTTAAGTGAGGACTCATACACCTTAAAACCCATAATGATCTTCGAATATGTGACTGTTGCAAGAATTGGGATAACTTATTTATTTTAAAAGCAATTACTTCCAACTTTTTACAGCTGACAGCATCATATTGCTACTTTCTGAAATAGTAATCCGAAAGTTTGTGTTGCCACAAATATTTTTATCTTTTAATCCGCTTTGGGACAAAAGTTTTGTCAAGTTTCCACCTTGCGCACACAGTTTAAAACATTCTGTTGCATAATTTAATTCCATATTTAATATATAGCTTTTATAACATTTGGAAACTGTTGTGAACCAAAAATTCTAAGAACTTCATGTTAAATTTTTATTTTATTTGGAATTGAGTTTATAAAATGTATTTTATTAAATAAAATCTGCAATGTTTTCGCGCATAAATTTTTTTAATACTAAAATATTCATCAAATTTTTGGTTCAGTTAGAAAATAGTGCCCATATAAAGAATTCCATCTAATTTCAAGTATGTACCATTAGCCATTTTTTAAATATCATGCGCGCAAGGTGGAAACGTGACGAAAACTTTTGTCACAAAGCGGATTAAATTACAAAAATAGTTCCGGCAA